AGCAAAAACAAGATCTCCAAAAGCAACGCGAACAAGAACAAGCGGAAAAACGTCAACAAGAAATACAGAAAAAACAAGAGTTGGAACGTAAAAAATTAGAAACACAAGCTCAGCGAAAAAAAGAATGGGAGGCTCAGCAGCAAAGAGAACGGGAGGCTCAGCAGCAAAGAGAACGGGAGGCTCAGCAGCAAAGAGAACGGGAGGCTCAACAACAAAGAGAATGGGAGGCTCAACAACAAAGAGAATGGGAATTAAAGCAAAAACGTGAATTGGAATTACGAGAAAAACGTGAACGTGAATTGGAATCGAGAGAACGTGAACGTGAATTGGAATCGAGAGAACAACGTGAACGTGAATTAGAAGAAACACGTAAACGAGAATTAAAATCTCAACGAGAGATTGAGCAACATCAACAATTCGGTAGAGAGTTACAATTGCAACGTGGAATGGAACATATGTCTCAACATGAACGAGATATCCAACAATTACCGCAACGTCAAATTTCTTTACAAAATGAACGAGATATTCAACAATTACCGCAACGTCAAATGTCTTTACAAATACAAACAAGACCACCGTCTGTTCAACGACAAATAACACCGCCTTATCAGCAAAAAAGCACCAAGGATAATAATATACATGATTGGATGGAAAATCAACGCACACAGCACTCACCTCGAGAAATTTCATCGGTCGGCAGTAGAGATACCGTTGATTCGTCAAGTCAAAGAGATCGAACGCAAACACGTGATAATGAGTTTGATGTACGGCGGAAGTCACGCGACGCTGATTGGATTGAAAGAGAGAGACGAGTTCCAAAAGACAATGAGTGGAATGAAAATGGAAGTAATAAGCATGATGTTAATATTGGTGGCAGTGACAATGAATGGGCAGAACAACGGAGTAGAGATGGTGGATGGTACCTTAGAGATGATAGAACCCAATACCCAGAGAACAATTGTTCAAAATTCGATAACTGATGATTCGGATCGATATCAATGATTCCAAGAGCTTCAGGAGGCGGTGGCAACGA